ACCATCTACCAGGTTTATTTGCATTACAAAATGTATACGTCAAATTAGTTGCCATTTGATCTGCTAATAACATATTAAATTGCTCCTTCAGCAAAGTAATAGAAACTTTTAACTTATTGTCCATTGGATTTGATATTAAAATCTTTTCCTTACATTTAATCTCATCTTCAAGATCTTTACGTTTCTGGGTCTGTTTACATCTGTGAGCATTGTTCATAGAAATCAAAACCCCTCTCATATATACTTTACAAGAATCCCATACCATTGGCATCGAAGTATCCTTATTCATATTCCAAGCAAAAAATTCTTTTAAATAACCTTTACATCGCTGTATATTCTCTTCATATCTAAATAAATTCTCATTCAACCTCCAAGTCCTTCCAGTTCTTTCTTCCGATGACATTTCCAACCATACCGGACTATGGTCTGAAATTATTCTAGGAAATATCTTGATATTCTTCACCCTAGAAAGGAAATCACTAGTAACCAAGAAAAAATCAATTCTAGATTGGCGTCTGTCCGAAAAAAAAGTAAAGTCTTTTTCCTCAGTATTTCGTTCTCTCCAAATATCTCTAAGTTCCAAATCATCCTTTAAGTCAAAAAAAACTTTAGGAAGTCTTGCATGGTTAGAAACTTTAAAGGGACCCTTCTTATCTTGAGTCTAAAACACCATTCCAATCTCCCGTCATAATAACTGACTTATAATCCAAAGAAGTTAATTTCTGGTCAATCAACTTACAAAAATATTTTTGTTGTTGATTGGGAGCATATAAACCAACAAGAAGAGTTCTCTTATCATTTATTAGTAAATCAATAATAACATATCTTCCTTGTAAGTCAAAATCAATTAACTTCGGTGAAAGCTCCTTTCTCACATAGATAACTACTCCTTTTTTCTGCAAAGCAGGAGCTATAAAATGTATCCCCAGCCAGGGATTAAACAAATATTTTTGATCTTTAGAAATAATATGAGTCTCTTGTAAACAAATAATATCATTTCTGTATTGTTTCAAATAATGAAAGATTTTCTTTCTCTTCTGTGGTGAGTTAAGCCCATTAACATTCCAGGTTAGAAGCTTTGCCATCCTTGGCAGGATGAAGCCTTTGGAACAAAGCTTCTAGATTTACAGTCGATGATCTCTTTGGCCTTGCTCCTCCCACCGGCTCCAAAATAGACTGTGGTAAACTTCCATCATCTGCCTTTTGTTGTTGTTGTTGTTGTTGCTGTTGTTGTTGTTGTCTTTCTCTATGTTTATAAGCAGCGCGTGTAATTCTCTGTTCCCTTGGGTCTTCTGTTATTTACAAATTCTGTTGCATAACTTCAATCAACAATTCTTCTCCCAAAGATGGCATTGAACTTACAGACAACTGTGCTTCTGTCTTGCTCTCATCTTTCTTTGATCTTGGAGATGGTGATGAATTTGCTTTTAAAATAGTAACATAAAAATCTCTTGCTTTTGAAACTGTATTAAGATCGTATCGTGTACCAGTGTAAGTCAGCACTATCCCCACAGGTATGTCCCATCTAAATTGAATTTGTCGCTTCTTAAGTTCTTCAGCCAAAAAAGCAAAGTCTTTTCTTTTTCTAAGAATTTTAGAAGGTATTTCCTTTAAAACTATCACATCCTGAGCTGCAATCTGAAATCTTTGTTTATAGAAGGCCTGTATAATTTCATTACAAAGTGATTTTCTCACAAAATAGACTATCACATCTCTTGGTAATTTCCTCTGTTTTGCAACCCACGAATTAACTCTAAAAATCTTTTCAATATCTTTCAATATTTCTTCAGGATCAGTTTCCAAAATAGAGGCCAGTTCTGCTGCAATTTCTTCTCTCAAATTCTTCTTAATATTTTCCTTCAGGCCCCTTATTCTCAAAGTATGTTCCATTTCTCTGTATTGTGACATTATAATTTCATTCTGTGTGGCATCCACATTTTCTTCTATTTTTTCTAATCTATCTTGTAATATTTCAACATTACCAACCACTTCATCCGCCCTGTCGTCAATCTTTTCCACAAGACCAGCAAGCCCTTGGAGTGCCAAAATAAGCTCATTACTTTCTTGAGCCAAAAGCTCTGCTGTTTTTTCTAGTGATTTTTCCAAAGTCTTATCTAAAGCATCTTGTAAGTCCTGAAGTGTAAGTGCCTGAGGTGGAGGCGAAGGTGGAGAAGGTTTAGGTTTGGGTTGTTGTACAGTCTGAGTTACTGGAGAGGCAGTTAAAGTTTTAGAAAGAGAAGGAAGTCCAGGACGTTTTGAAGCCATTTTTAAAAAAGGGAGGGGTTTCCCCCCTTCCCTTTTTCAAAAAATAATAATATAAAAACAAAGGAGAAGAAAAAAACAATTCCCCCTTAAAAAAGGGGGGGAATAAGATTTTTTCCCCTTTAAAATAAACCAAAGCTATTACATTGTTAAAACTTTGTTGCCAGTTTAAAAATAGAAACTAAAAAATAGAAAGTGAAAGTTCTCAAACAAAGAAAGTGACAAAGAAGGAGGATTCCTCCGCCATATTTCTTCACTCCAGTTAGAATAGTAACAGGAGTAGATGTTAATTCAAACTGAATTAGATTTAAAGTAAAATCATCAATTCTTCTCTTCCTGACCACTCTGTCTGCTTTTGAGTTAACTTACTGTTCCCATCAGATAGCAGCAGTGGAGGCAGCGTCTAGCTTGGTTCTCTCCGGAGAACAAAGGCATCCAAGGAAACGGAGCAACACCCAGACTCTGAGGAAGCTCTCACTTCACCTCCCAGAAAAAAAAAAACTGGGAAAGCTGTGAGGCTTTACCTCTATCCAGGCAAAAGCTCACCTCCCTCCCTTCACCCAGGAGGGAAGTTTCAAGCCGCAAAACAGCTGATTGTTGCTGTTTTGCCAGCTTTTACGATTTCCCGGGACGGGCAGCTGTCAAACAGCGGCCATTGGCACTGACGCAACCACAGGAAGTCCCATTTTATCAGAGTTTTTGTGTAACCATGCTGGTTTCTTTTTAGATTTCTTATTTTTCTTTTTCAGTGGTATTGTGCTGGACTGAGTTTTTATAATCATATTTTTCAGGGTTTCCCAAGCTTCTTGAGTTGTTTTCCCCTTTAAGATTTTTATCCATGGAATCCTTCCTAAACTCTAAGTTTGTTGAAATCAATTTTTTTAAAGTTTAAGACACTGGTTTGATTATGTTCTATTCCTTGTGCCTGCATTATGTTGAATTGTAAGATAATATGATCACTCTCCTCCAAAGTTCCTGCTACTTCCACCCTCTCTATAATTTCTTCCAATATAGTTGTCCCTCTAATTCTTTTCTCTACCTTTTTGGATGACAAAGTTGTCAGTTAGATTGGTCAGGAACCTGCTCGATCTCCCACTTGATGTAGAGTTTTTCTCCAAGTTCATGCCAGTGTAGTAAAGTCCCCCATTACTCTGTGGTGTGTTTCCTACATACATTAGCAAAAAGTTCAACTATTTCTTCTGCTTGGTTGGGTAGCCTATAGTATACACCTGTACTACAGAATGTCATTCTTTTTTCCTTTTATATTAGCCCATATGCACTCTAGCAGGCTTAAATAGATTGTTTCTCTGAAAAATTCAGAATCCATCTTTATGTCATTTTCTCTCTAAGCATTTTCATTTTCAATGGCAAATCTTTTGCAGGTTCCCATATGGGGTGAGGTCACTTAAAATTGGGCATAAAGTTACACAAGTGCATTAATAAAACAACAGTCACAACAATAAGTAATAAATATATCCCCGGTTCCCCGGAATATACCCCTAATATGTTACTGCACAAATATTCTGAAAATTGGAAATATCTAAAGCAGTACATAGTTTATAGCAGATAATTATATCAATATCATCCAATGGATAACAATTTGAGCTGTATACTGTATCTATAACTCAGATAAAAACTTTTGTGTTTATAGCTGGAAGTGCTGGCCTATACATATGGCATATACACATTATACATGCAGGCATTCTCTTTTATGTATATAAGTAAAAAGATAAAGGCATCTCTGTGGATTTTACTCTGCTAGTCATTGCCAACTATGTTCATTAAGGTCACTGAGCCAGTGCTGTCCAAAGTTATTTAGTCATGTGGTTAGCATGATGTCACAGAGCACTGTTACTTCCCACCAAAGTGGTACCTATTTATCTACTTGCATTTGCATGCTTTCAAACTGCTAGGAGCTGTGATGTACTTGGGCTGCAGGCTTTCCAGCCAATAAACCCAGTGTCTTAACTGCTGAGCCACCCCACCACCCTTTTTATGTACATATGTGTGCACATATGTATGTATAATTTACTGGGCAACTAGCTCTATGCTCCATAGATTCTTGGCATTCCTCATGTTGTTGCTGAAGTTTTCTTTAGCATGAGATGTTTGGTATTTGGTTTGAAATGCCAACTATTTTCCACGAATATTGGCCTTCATTGTCTCTCCACACATATGAAACACCATATCAACTGTTTCTTTCAATAAAAATTTATGAAGGGGAAGTATTTAAATTAAAATCTTTCTCATTTCAAACAGATGTTTAATTTTCTTACCTCTTCCACTTTGTCCTTTCATTCAAATTCCTTGTAGTGTATTCCACTTATGTTCAAAATGTTGCGTGTGATAGAATAATTATCAAAAGAAGAGACAGCCTCACTCCAAAAACAAAAGTAAATCAGTCAAGGACAGGTGAGATATCTATACCATATGACAATCCATTGAGCAGCTTTTAGAAATTTTTGAAGGGGCATCTTTCTTTTCCCCTTCCTCCCAGCATCTTTAAGTCATGAGATCCAGCAATTTGTTGACCCGGTCCCATATACCAACCAAGGATGGTTGTACTACTTTATATACTATTATTAAGGTCTTGAGCATTTTTGATTGTTGGTAAACACTACAAATTAGGGCAATAAAAACATGGGATTCTTCAGTTTCTATGGTTTTGGCCATATCCTCTTGTACCTTGCAGCCATAATAATGGCAATGGTTTTGTTGTATTCTCTGATGTCTACTAGGTTTCTGCACAATTATTTGAGAAACCTGTTTGCTGGAGCTTGGGAAGCACAAGACCTTTCACCTCTACCAGTGAACATACCAGAAGCCACAGAAGCACAGGTGAGACTTCCTTTTTAAGCAAAGATTTTCAGATTCCAGTTAAGCTCATCAAAGTCAAAGAGGGGATATTGGAAACATTATTTGTTAATGTTTTGCTTGTCATGAAAATGTTATCTGCTTGTATGTTCTGTTTTCCTATCATTCTAGCATTTAAAGTCGTCTTTCAGATTGCAAACTAATAAAAGGGAATGAACTTAAGGGAGAAAATATGGTTTCCATTATTATCAGTAAAGCCCTGGATTATTATCACTGTAAGGACCCACCTCACGTTACATCTTAAGAAGACAAAACTCTTGGAATATCTCTTCCAACAGGCATCTTTATTAAGAGAAAATGATTGCAGGCATTCTAGACAGGATCTGGGGAATTCTCTCCCATCCTTCAATGTTTTAAGTGTTCCCAAGCAGCTCCCACCTCACAGTTCTTCTGGGCAACGATCACTCATCCTCTCTTTTCCCAGATTCCAGGCATTGCCTTGTTTCCCCCCCTTTTCCATCACTGCCGGCAAAAGGGAGACTTCAGAGAGATTAAATGAAAGGCGATGGCCATATTGTTATGGTCAGTCCTCTTGATGAGAATCAACATCCAGTCACTTTGTATGAAGGAAGTGAGAGTCATAAAACCCCCTTGTTTATCCTCCTCCCCTTTCGTAGTATGACGAATCCAGAGAGAGTAAGAAATGGGTTTTTTTCAGAGTAGGTAGCTAGAAATGAAATATAATTGGATTCTGACATCCTGCCCCCCCCCCTAAAAATAAGAGAGATCCACCTGTAAAGAAAACAAAACAGGTATAAAATTTAGTCTGGCTTTTTGGGTTCTCTGTATGAAACTTCTTTAATAGCTTTAGGGCTCTGACATGACGTTTATAGACCCACTTGTTTTTTGAGGCAGGGAGGTGTTTCCATGCTACTAGGTATTGAGTTGCCCCATGATATCTCCTAGAATCTAGGATTTCCTTTATCTTGAAGTGTTGTTCGCCTTCCACCATGATTGGAGGTGGTGGTGGTGGGGATTTTTGGCCATAAGGTTGACTGATGCTCTCTTTTCACCAAACTGCAGTGAAAAATTGGGTGTATTTGCCTAAGATTTGGGGGTAATTCTAATTTTACTGTTACTGGGTTTATGATTCTTTTAATTGGAAAAGGCCCTATATATTTTGGTCCAAGTTTTTTACAGGGTTGTAGGGATTTTAGGTATTTTGTAGATAAGTACACCATTTCTCCTATAATGAATGGTGTAGGCTCAACCCTTTTTTATCGGCTTGTGCTTTGTATGCATGCCTAGCTTCATCTAGTGCTTTTCTAATTATTGGCCAGGTGTTTTGTAATTGTTCTATCCATTCTTTCAGTGATAGGATCGCTGGTTCATTTGGGGTTAGTTCTGGTATGGGGTTGAAACTTTGACGGTAGCTATTTGAAAAAGAGTGTAACCTGTGCTGGAGTGCACTGTATTATTGTAGGCAACTTCTGCGAAGGGGAGTAGGTGCATACAATCCAACTGTTGGAAATTAATAAAGCATCTTAAATATTGCTCAAGTACTGAGTTCGAATTTTCCACTTGTCCATTCCTCTGAGGATGATGGCTAGATGTCAGTCCCTGAATGGTCCCTAAAAGGGATAAAAATTCCTCCCAAAATGAAGACGTAAATTGCACTCCCCTATCAGATATGATGCATTGGGGTGTCCCATGCAATCTGTAAATATGCTGCACGAAAAGTTTCGCTAAGGCTTTTGCGGTGGGAATCTTTTGGCAAGGGATAAAGTGTACCTGTTTGGAAAACAAAACCGTGACCATCCAGACGACAGTATTCCCATTACTTTCTGGTAATTCCACTATAAAAGCCATGGCTATTTCCCTCCAGGGGGCTAAGGGATTTGCCACTGTTTGTAACAGTCCAGGTAATTTCCCTTGCAACCTCTTGGCACTTGCATACTTTGGGCAGCTGGCCATGTAACTTTCTATGTCATTTTTCATGGATGGTCACCAACATTTCCGTTTAATTAAGTGTAAAGTTTTTACAAATCCAAAATGCCCTGCTGATTTTGTGTCGTGGCAAAGCTGCATGAATGTGACTCTTTGGGTTGTTGGTATATATAACTTTTCCCCCACCCAAGGCAGCCTGTTTTTCATTGTGCACATGTGTTTATTTTTCTGGAACCATTCATCTGTTTCCAGAGTTTTCCGGAATTCGATTCTGGTTTAGCTACCCAGCTGTGGTTTTAATTTAGCTTGGGCTCTGGTGGTTACTGGCGCTGCCGGTTATCATTCTACTATCATCGGTTTAGAGTCGGTGGCTCATGTGCTGTTATATTGGGGCATGCGAGTTAGTGCATCTGCCAGGAAGTTTATGCTGGAGCATAAAGTGGAATTGGTGAAAATGCTGGGACAAGTGGGCTTGCTTGGGGTTGAGCTTCCTGGGTGTTTTCAAGGCTTCCAAATTTTTGTGGTCTGTCCACACCTGGAAAGGGATTTTATTGCCTTCAAGGAACTGGCGCCACGTGAATAATGACCAACGTATCCCGTATGCTTCTTTCTCCCACACAGGCCAGCGCTGTTCCATTTCGATGAGTTTCTTGGATGTATACGCACAGGGTTGCAATACCCCTTCATCGTTTTCTTGTAATAGTACAGCCCCCACTGCCACATCACTTGCATCCGCCTGTATTACGAAGGGCTTATCCATGTCTGGGTGTCTTAGTACTGGTTTGGCAGAAAAGAGTCTCTTTAATCTCTCAAACACTGCTTGGCATTCCATTGTCCATTTTAGTGGCTGGCTAGGTTTTACTGAGGATGCTCCCTTCGTTTTTAGTAAGTTCGTGAGGGGCAGGGCTATCTGGGCAAATGAGGGGATGAATTGGCGGTAAAAGTTTGCGAAATCCAGGAAACCTTTTTGTGTGAGGTGGTGCCATTCTAATACTGCTCTGACCTTTTCTGGGTCCATTTCAATGCCCTGTGGGGATATGTGATAACTAGGTAGTCTATCCTTTCCTGGTGGAATTCGCATTTCGATAGTTTAGCATATAGGTGGGCGGCTCACAGTTTCTTTAAAACCGCTCTGACTAGGTTGACATGTTCCTCTTTTGATTCGGTGAAGATAATGTCGTCTAAGTAAACCAGGACTCCTTTAAATAGGTGCTCCCTTAGCACATCATTGATTAATTGCATAAATACTGCGGGACCCCCTTGTAATCCAAATGGCAAGACTTTGAATTGGTAGCACCCCATTGGGCAGTTAAACACGGTCTTCCATTCATCCCCTTCCTTAATTTTCACGCGATAGTACGCTTCCCTTAGATCTAGTTTAGTAAAAAAAAATTCCTTTTGAGAGGTGTGATAACATGTCCTTCATGAGAGGTAGGGGGTATAGGTTGCTTTCACTGATTGTATTTAGGAGCCTATAATCCACGCATAAGCGTAAAGAGCCATCCTTCTCTCTAAAGAGGACTGGAGTGGCCACTTTAGGCTTGGCAGGTTCAATGGTTTCTAGGTTTTTCTTTATGAATCTTTCAATTTCCTCCTTCTCACTTGGGCTAATGGAGTATAATCTGGGCTTTGGGAATTTTGCTCCGGGCTTGAATTCAATGGCACAGTCCGTGGGGGGGAAGCTCATCCGCCCTCTCCTTGCTGAAAACTTCAGCAAGATCTCTGTATTCCTCTGGTATTTCTGATAGCCCCCTTTCCTCTCCTATGGATGCTTTTTCCATTCTTAATTTTGGTAGATCCCCTTGGGGTTTTAAGTCCATAGGATCCCCTCTTGGGAAATTGATTTCTACCATCCTCCAATTCACCCAGGGGTTCCATTTCTTTAACCATTCCATCCCTAGGATCATCAGGCATTCCATGCTGGGGTCACTACAAATGTTATGTCTTCCTCATGTTTGCCCAGGGAGAGGTGGATTGGTAAAGTGGTTAGGGTAGCTGGCACCCCCCCTGCTATGGATCCATCTAATTGGCCAAATGAGATTGGTTGTTCCAGTCTCCTCGACGGAATGCCCAGGTTTCCCACTAGCATTGGGCTAATGAGGCAGCGGGTGCAGCCAGAGTCTATTAAGGCTTTCACCTTCACAGCTTCTGGCATGGGGGGAATTAATATAGTCACTGTCTTGAGGATGGGTGCGATGCAACCACTTACCAGGGGTTCGCCCTCTGAGCTGTCATCTGAGGTGTCCACCGGCCCTGCGGTGTAGGCTGGAGTTCTTTCCCCCCCGATGAGCAGAGGTAGGGGATTCCACAGCCTCCATCACTCTCATGGCAGATTCTTTTGGCTTAGCTGGAGACTTCCCGGATTTGCTGGCTGGTGATCTGTCTGGGTTGTGCTGGGGGGCTTTCGAGCGGCATTCTACAGCCCGATGCCCCTCTCTCCCGCACTTTCTTCTTGGCTGTAGCCAATAGTTTCACTGGTTCACATGTCAACTCAGGTGGTGAGCGGCTCCTCGGTGGTGCCTCTTCAGTAGGTCGATCTCTGCTTCCTCTGCCAGGACATACCATTCGTCAAGTTGGTGTGGGTCTCCTCGGGGCAGGCAAGTGTCATATAGGTTGTAGTTTAGTCCGTCTTTGAAATGGCTAAGGAGGATGTCTTGTGGCCAGTTCAGTTTGCTGGCAATGGCCTGGAATTCTTGCGTATATTCGGCTCTCTGGTGTTTGCCTTGCCTCATCATTTTTATCCTTTAGCAGGCTTTGCGATCAGCCAGGGGGTCCTCAAATCGCCTTCTCAGAGAGGATGTGAAACGGTTGAAATCGTTGAGCTGTGGGGCATTGGAGTCATGCAAATTCACCACCCAATCTGCGGCCAGCCCATCTAGAGCAGATTGCACTATTCGGATATGGGCTTTGTCGCTAGGGATGTGCCGCCCATATTTCTCCATGTAGCTGAGGACTTGGGTTAGGAAAAACCCCAAGCGTGTCGGCTCTCCCTTGAATCTCACGTCCAGCGGCTGGAGTCTTTGAATGGATCGGTGCCTTCATTGTCAGTGGTAGTGTCTTCCATCCAGATCACCACTGTGGGTCGGCAGGGAGTGGGGACTACTGGATCAGTGGACGTCCCCGGGGCTGCAGGTTCCATTTCCCCCTTGGTGTCTCTCCAGTTGCGGCTCCAGGAGCTGGTGCGGCCGTAGGGCTCAGAATTCTCCTCTCCTAGGGAGCTGAGGGTTCTCTTCATCAGGTCGATAGCTTTCTGTAGGATCCAGCTCGAGTGCGGTGCCCAGCTTCCTTCCTCTTCGCTTGCGTAGAGGGATTTCTCCATCTCCTGCTTCCATTCTGGTTGGTTGGCCCCCTGTCTCAGGGTCACCTTTCTTGATTTCTTTTCCCACTCACTTTTCTTTCCAACGCCCATTGACCAGCGAGGCTTGTGGTCCCGTGTCTCCACCACTTCTTCTCCTGAGGAATCTGACCTCTCGGATCCCGACATCTGGCAGGTTTTCAGTTGGGGCAGTGGCTCCCTCTCCAGGGGGCTTTCTCCCTTTCCTGCTCCGTCGTCTGACATGGTAATTTTTGCAAAGTCCCCCAGCAAGGTTCTCCCTTCCAGGTAGACTAATTTTGCAGATCCTCACTTTACATCTTAAGAAGATAGAACTCTTGGAATATCTCTTCCAACAGGCATCTTTATTAAGAGAAAATGATTGCAGGCATTCTAGACAGGATCTGGGGAATTCTCTCCCATCCTTCAATGTTTTAAGTGTTCCCAAGCAGCCCCCACCCCATAGTTCTTCCAGGCGACGATCACTCATCCTCTCTTTTCCCAGATCTCAGGCATTGCCTTGTTCCCCCCTTTTCCCTCACTGCCGGCAAAAGGGAGACCAGAGAAATTAGATGAAAGGCGATGGCCATATTGTTATGGTCAGTCCTCTTGATGAGAATCAGCATCCAATCACTTTGTAGTTTAATGAAGGAAGTGAGAGCCATAAAACCCCCTTGTTTATCCTCCTCCCCTTTCGTAGTATGACAGAATCCAGAGAGAGTAATAAATGGGTTTTTTTCAGAGTAGGTAACTAGAAATGAAATATAATTGGATTCTGACAATCACTTTCATTGCCCCCATTATGCATCACTGCATCCCCACAAACAATTAATACTGATTAGGTTGCTGCTCTGAAGCATTGGCTTTTGATATGAACAACTTTTCCTGGACATACTTCTGTACAGGTGCAGCAATGTGTGGAGCTGATCAGCAGGGCTAGGAAGCCAGTCATACTACTTGGCAGTCAAGTGACCCTCCCTCCAATCCCAGCAATCAAGCTTAGGTAAGATGTGCTGCCTGCCCTAGACTGAGATTCCTTTTATAACATTGATGTACCATTAGGCTTCCACTGACCCTCAGGTACAATATCCTTGCTCAGTAGAATTAATCCATTAATTGGAAAGAGGAACTACAGGATGTGACAAGTATGTGTTCAGATGAATAGACAGAAGTGAGGAGAAGAGATAGCAAAGATATATGAACTTTTCCTCCTTACAGAGAAGCTTTAGAAGAACTGGGGATTCCATGTTTCCTGGGAGGCATGGCCCGTGGCATGCTAGGAAAGAACAGTCCATTGCATATTCGTCAAAACCGGCGTGAGACTCTCAAGGAGGCAGATCTGGTTATTCTGGCAGGTAGCTCAACTGAGAGTTTTATATTGGTCTTCTACTGAAGAGGACTTTCAGAAAAACATTGGGCCAGTTTTGGGGAATTGGGAGGTTAGCAGATATTTCTGTTATTATATAATGATTGTCTAACAATTGTCCTCTGTTTATAGCTTCTGTTTTCCTTTTCAGGCACAGTCTGTGATTTTCGCCTGTTATATGGGCGTGCCTTGAGCAAGTACAGCAAAATCATTGCTGTTAACAGAAATCGGGAGCAACTGCTTAAAAATGCAGATTTTCACTGGACACCAAATATAGCCATAAAAGGTGAGGTGTTTGTTCAAGGCAATAATAAGCGAGATGTGAGGAACATTTCCTAGGGATTTGGCATGGTGAGAAAAGAGGATAATAAAAAGATGGTGCTTAAGGGCATGCCTTGTTAATACTGATGATTAGAGGAAGAGGACAATTGGAAGAGGGTGCATACCTCCTTCAATTATGTTTTACAGGGGATGCTGCATTGTTCCTTGTGTGCTTAAACCAAAAGCTGAAAGGCTACTCATGTCCTCAGGATTGGGTAATGAGTTTGAAGGAGGCTGATCAGAAGAAGGAGAAAACAAACAGGTAATAATAAATAGAACTCTTTGTATGTGTCCATACGTAGTGTAAGGCTTGCAGATACTTCTTATTTGTTCTACCCTTGAATAATACTTTGCTATATAGAAATTATGGCTTTCTACTGGTATGTCTCAAATCGGTTTGTGATCTCCAGAGAGAAGGCAGAAGAACGGACAGAGCAGCATCTTAACCCACTGAAGCTCTTGCATCATGTAGATTACTTGCTTCCTGAAGACAGTGTACTAGTTGCAGATGGAGGTGATTTTGTAGCAAGTGCTGCCTATATTATAAAGCCAAGGGGACCACTATCTTGGCTAGATCCAGGTATGAGCTAAAGCAGAAGTCTAGACTTAATTGTTTTTCATGAGTGTAGGATGGGGTGATACTTCATAACACAACCTTCCACTTTGTACTCAGCTGCCTTTGAAACAGGAGAACTGCTCCATCCTAGAAAATATCCAGAAATATATTTTTGGTTTCCAAATGTGCATCCAATTCTCTCAGTAAAACATCCCAATCCACAGCAGTGTTTATCCCCCAGGTAGTATCAGATGAAGTTTGGGCTTTTTGTCTTCCCTGTATTACTATGGGGATCAAAGAAATAGACCACACAAAAGAGAGCAGAAATGTTAACACTATAATGTCAATAAATAATCAGTCTGCAAATTATTCTTAGTCTGAATAATGTGAGCAGTATAAAATAAACTTTTTTAAACAATTCTACAATTCTAGCATTTTTCTCCCTTCATATCTTTCATCATATTTTTACAGGAAGTGTATTTTCTTAATTAGTAATTAATTAATTTATGGCTTGATTAAACTATGAGTAAAACAGCTAGGCTTTTAATACAATAAATATACTCCAGTATGCATCTGGTCCTATTATAGAGACATGAATTAGTTTGTTGATGTTTTAATCTATATGTATCCTACCTTTCTGTGTTCTGTGTACATAACAGTCATGACAGATATTAACAAAGCTGAAAAACAGATGTAGTAAACCATCATAAACAGATTAAATGCACCCTTTTAGAAATCCAGGGAATTATTATTCAGGAATCAGTACAAACCTGTGCAGTTTCTTTAATCATGATGTCTGTTTCATCTCATTACAGGGGCTTTTGGAACTTTGGGAGTTGGGGGTGGATTTGCCTTAGGAGCCAAGCTCTGCAGGCCTGACTCAGAGGTTAGTATATTGTAGAGCAGGGGTGTCAAACTGCCGGCCCATGGGCTGGATGCGTTATGCTGAAACTGCACCCACCCCAGCTCCGGCAATGGGGAAAAAGTCATGATACGTCGCGACATGTCACGTCACGTGGCGAGTTTGACACCCCTGTTGTAGAGGGAAGCTAAGTGTGGAAGCTTAGTCATGGAACAGCAAATAAAAGGCTAGGCTCTGTTTTACAGCATCTTTCCCTAGCTGCTAATCTTTCCATATTTTTTTTAATTGTTAACAGGTGTGGATCTTATATGGAGATGGCTCTCTTGGATTCAGCATCATGGAATTTGATACTTTTGTGCGACACAGGGTAACTATCAGCTTGCCCAGTTTCTAGGGGGTCTAGGATGACTTGACACCGCTAACTCAGCGCGGCCAGCTATGGGAGGCCTTCTTGCCACTGCCAAGTCCCCTCTGCCAATTTACTGTCTTGTTGCTGGACATCTCAACACTGCTGGACATCTCAACACTGGAAATTAGCTGCAAGGACAATTTGCTGTCGGCTCTGGAAGGAGAGCCAGGCGGGTGAGCGAACAAGTAGACTGTCAAGAGGGGGACGGTGATGGGCAGGGCAGCGCCGATATGAGAAGCAAGTGGGTTTGTCAGAGGACAGTGGCAGTGTATTGGTTCTGGCCTGAACACCAAATGAGCAGTTTGGCTATGACGGCGGGTGGGGCTTCCCATTTTGTGGAGTGGAGGGGGAGGCAATGGCACAGACGCAACAATGGAGGTGGGGTGTCAAAATGGGAAACTCATGCTACAGTTCTGCAAGTTTTATTTTTTAAAAAAACTTCCTTAATGTTTGAGAGTACTTTGCTCTGAAAATAAGGCCAGCTTTGAGAAGCAGTGGGGTGGGATGTCACCTTTAAAAAAAAACAAAAAATCTAGAAAGGCTTGTTTTGAGTTGCATTCAATCCCTTGCCCATCAAGCAGATTGCAAAGTTTGCAGCAGCATTTAGCTGCGGGTCTGTTGAACCACAGAAATGGGGCTGCATGGACAGGAAACTCTGGAGTCCAAACTGGAAAAAACCCCTTCTCAGCATTACTTTTGGCACAGCATTGGTGTCGGCTTTGGGAGGAACATTGCTATGATTCTCCATCCAAATGCACTCTGCACTTGACCAGAAACACCAGGAAAGTACTCAGTACCTACCAGAAACACCAGGAAAGCACTCTGCACATGAAATCATCCAGCCGGCTTTGGAGGGTACACTTCTATGATGCTCTGTACAAACAGAAGTGTTTCTGGTCATGTGCAGAGTGCTTTCTCCCCAAAGCAGGGTGGATGATTTAATGGTGTTTCTGGTTATTTGCGGAGTGCTTTCTCCCCGAAGCAGGGTGGATGATTTCATGGTGTTTGTCAGCTACCACCTCACGCTTGCACTTCACACCCATTCAATATCAGCTGCCATGAACTCAAGGAGGTTAGATGGGAGGTGAGATGCTTCAAGGGAAACGAAACTTCACTGTATCTCTTTGAGCTTTGAGAGGGGCTTCAAAGACAACTGGTTGGGACAGAAGGCAGCTGCATACCATACCTTTGCCTGAAGTGACCGTTCTGAAAACATGTTGTTTGAATTTGGTTGGACATGGGGGCCCAGTTAATAGGAGGTGACTAAGGAGGGAAAAGTTAGACTTGGAGATTTTGGTGCACAATTCTCAGTTTTGGCTATGCATTATTATAATTCACTTGGCTTCTAGTAAACTATCTTTCTCAATAACTGTAGTTAAGGATCGTTAGAGGTTGAAGCTGAGACAGGTCTGACAGTGTTTCTGGTCATGTGCAGAGTTCTTTCATAGTGTTTCTAATCAGGTGCAGTGTGCTTTCCCCCCCACTGCCAGATAGGTGATGTCATGGTATTTCTGATCATGTTGTTGTAGTTCCGGCTAATGAAACATTCCAAACAACTTGTAGGCATTTATTTTCATAAAAGTCTTTTATTGTTACAAAATGTCGGTACAGGCACAAAGGAGGGATGCTAGATCTAAGTTCTCTTCCTCTGAGCAGTTAAATTATCAGCATGTTCCCTCCCTAAATTAGCCGTCATATCTCACATTATCCAATTAGTGTGAAGGTCAAATGTTTTCTTCCTCTTTCTTTCCCGGGCTTTACCCCCAACCCCCCTTCTGCTCTGTATTAACCCCATAATTACCAGACAATTCTACATATTGTCAAAAGCAAGAATATATAATATTTGCAGCGTTGACATCCGGCCCCCCTTACAAGAAGGACAGATCCTGTAAAGTAAACAAAAGCATATGTTAAGGGTTATCTTTTGGTTTGTTGGGGAGCGTCATATGAAACCTTTTGACCAATCTGTCAGCTTTCACTTCACTGGATTTCACCCAGGTGGCTTCAGACAACGGGTATCCCTTCCATTGGATTAGGTACTGCAATTTCCCTGACAGTGTGTCAGCCGTCCCAACTTGGTCATTTAGAAAAGAAAGATTCTTGGACTAGTGAAAGTATACTGTACTAAAGCCAAGTGATTACAGTGTAGCAAAGCTGAATCTGATGTTACTTGCCCAAAGCACATAGTTAACATTCCCTTTTGGATCCCGTCCCTCCATGGACACTGGTAAGAGTCCAATAGTGTTCAAACTAATTATTTTGTGCAGGCTTGAGGGTGTTGCAGGGTGACCTTGGAGCAGACTGTGGCTGACAGGATGGCACAAAGACTTTCATTTTCCTCTATCTTCTTCTCCTTCCTCCCACCCCGCAACTCCTTCCCCCGTTTCTCATGACAGCCTGGTATCTAGCTAAGCAGGGCCGGGGCAGCGGGATAGCAACTCTGACATGGTGCTTCTGATTATGTGCAGACTGCTTTTCCCCCCAAGGCTATGTGGATGATTTCATGGTGTTTCTGATCGTGTGTAGAGTGTTTTCATGATGTTTCTGGTTATACACAGATTGCGTTTGGACAGAGTATCACAGCAGTGTTTCCCCCAAAGTCGACACAGATGCTGTGCAAAGACTAATGCTAAGAAGAGGTGTTTTTTTCCCAGTTTGGACTCCAAATTCCTGTTCATGAAGCCCCATTTCTGTGGTTCATCAGACTCGCAACTAAATGTGGCTGTAAACTTTGCAATCTGCTTGATAGGCAAGGGTTTGAATGCAATTCAAAACAAGTCTTTTTAGTTTTTTTTTAAAAGGTGACATCCCACCCCATTGCTTCCCAAAGCTGGCCTTATTTTCAGAGCAAGGCACCCTCAAACATTAAGCAATGTGACTTTTTTTTAAAAAAACTTGCAAAGCAGCCCATTGCAGTGCCCCTCTGACATCCCACTCACTCGCCTGCCCAGCTCTCCATCCAGTGCCCACAGCAAATTGCACTGCGAATTTCCAGTTTTGAGATGTCCTGCAATGAGATGGTGGCAGCAAGTTGGCAGAGGGAACTTGGCGATGGCAAGAAGACTGCCTCGAGCTAGCAGCAGTGAGTTGTTCTATTCTGGTTTCTACGATGCTGCATACTCTCAATTTCTATAGATGTGAGTGCAGAAAACTGACAAGATTGTGGAATTATGCAGGTTTTACAAAGGGATCTGTAAGGACCCACCCCACTTTGCATCTTAAGAAGACAGAACTCTTGGAATAATTCTTCCAACAGGCATCCTTTATTAAGAGAAAATGGTTGCAGGCGTTCTAGACAGGACTTGGGGTCCAAGCTCTCCAATTCAAGGTTTTAAGGGGTTCCCCAGTAGCTCCACCCAATCACCCCCTTTTTCCAGCGACAGTCTCAGGCATTACATTCCCACCCCCTTTTCCTTACTGCCAGCTGGATGGAGTACATGAAAGGTAATAGCCCCATTCTTATGGTTAGTCCTTTTGGTGATATTCACATTCAGTCCCTTTGAAGTGTACTGAAGGAAGTGAGGGCCATAAAACCCCTTTGGTCACCCCCTTCCCTTCATCATATGATAGAATCCAGAGAAGGCAGAAATGGGGTTTTCTATAGTTGATAACTAGAGATAAAATATAATTGGATTCTGACAGGATCGTTTCAGTGGTTAATTGTAACTTCTAGGTCTTGATTAGCAGCTGGTTTGCTGTTTTCCAATGGAAAAAAAGAGCAACTATATTCTTCCAGTTCTTCTTAGGGCTTCTTCAGCTAATCACCCTTCCTCCCCATTAAATTCTCAACCTGTTTCTCAAGCTATATGCTGATATGAATTTGTGCATTTTCTTAATCTGCCTGGGTGATTACTGAAACAAGAACTACTGTATGCAAGTGATAGTTACCATCCCCCGAGAGAAAGAAAAGGGGTAGAGGGATTAGTGGGAGAAATTTATGAGACAGGTAGCCTTTTTTCAAAAGATGCAGTAGTATATGAAGATTGGTTGGGAAAATGAGTTAAAATTAATGAATCTATGTTGTGTGTGTGCGCGCACATATGTGTGCATGTGCTCATGCCTGATTAAGTCTACAGAGTTGGGCCCCCAGAAGTGTTGTGCAACTGAAGGGTTGAACAGACTTCTCTGGCATTCCATGTCATGGAATGTATGTGTCTGTTGTTTAGGGATGGTTGCATACATTTATATTTGCAAATGTAATATTCTGGCTAGGGGGCATTCAAACAGCAAAGCACAGAACAGGAAATAGGATCAATCAATCAGCACGTAGGATATGCACCTTAGCACAATGCACAATTGAGATTTGGGAGGTGTTTGCATCAGTATGTCTGCAGCCATGTGAACCCACACTTACCCATCAAGCCCTTCATAGCATAGCTATGCAGCGATGGTTAAGGGCAGTTGCGGGCAACTCTAAATCAGCCTGAACAGTCTGTGCTGGTAGGATATGTTGTAGCCTGGAGCTAATGATGATAGAACTGAGAATAGGCTCATTGGATGATATATTAGGGGCCCAAATTGGGACTTTGATAAGGAGAAGGGAGTATTGGGGGGCACTAAATGGAAGTGCAAGACATGGAGAGCCTTGCATTAATGTAGATCCCCTCTGTTAAGACAGTTCCTCCTGTTCTGAGCCCAGGAGGTTGAATTGTTGGATACCTCTCAGCTGCTGCTGGTAAATTTAGAAACAGTTAAATCTTAATTTAGGTATTTCTAAATTAAGATTTCACCACTGCATTATATAATAACCAGTTATGGAGATCTGATTAGGCAGAGAATGGCAGTAGTTCTGCAAGAAATCTGGTTGGTTGGGTTTTAAGGTCTTCAAGAGCTGTAGCACCAGAGTCAGTGGGGAGGAGTAGCCACAATCCTTTGTAAGATACTTATGTTGATAGGGAATATTGCCTTGGAAGTGATAATTACTAATGTCTGTGTATGGGACTGGGCCACATTGACAG